CCCCACCCTCACTGTCCCCACCCTCTGCCCCCTTTTTCCTCCTTTCCCGCGTGAGGCATCTCGTGTGCATGCGGACCTGGTGGTCCAGGCTCAGGGAAAATGGAGAGGGAGACGGGGAGGCGGGTGTCTATATTTTTTCTCTTGGCTTCCGTTACTTTGTGTCACATAGCTGCAACATTGTTCGCAGCTTACAAACTAACGTGTTGCACGCAATATGTTGATGACATGCCGTGGCATGCAAATGTTGACATATAAAGTTACTCGGAGGTCGCACGTAAATGCGTAATTTATTGGGACAGTGTACTATCAGCGCAGAAAGAATTGAACCGCTCTGGCGTCCATATTCCAAGCAGAAGGGTTCAATTCTTTCTGCGCTAATAGTACAGTGTGACAGGGGTGGGTGCTTTTCCATTCACATCCCGGGAAAGAAATCGATCTTAACTTCACACTTCGTGTCTCGCTTGGTGTATTTTGTTCTGATTTTGTTCTGTTTTTTGCCTTTCGTTGCAGAGAATGGCGGAGCAGCAGCCACACCCGCAGCAGCGCATGAACCACTCGGCGGTGCGCGAGCAGGTAGAGGCGGGCATGCTGCAGTCTTATGATGACGCCTTCGTGGACCTTGGGTACCAGCACCACCACCACCAGCAACAGCAGCAACAGCAGCAGCAGCAGCAACAGCAGCAACAACAGCAGCAGCAGCAGCAGGAGCTGCAGGGCTGGTACCCCGTGCACGTCCAGGTGAGAGCGCCTGCCGTCCTCTGCATAGGCAGCCCGCTCCGCAGGGAGGCCCCCGGATTGCCTATACCGGATTACGCAGGCGTTATGGATCGTAAACTTTGAATCCATTTAATTTGACGACGAGGTGACGATTAACGCTATGCGAGTTTTCCCTGCCGTTGTTAAAAGTTTAAACAAGAACCAGAGCAACTCATATTTTTGACGAATAAGAAAGTAGGGGAGAGGAGGCGGAGGTAGGGGTGTATGAATGGCTTATCACCCCAAAAATTGTATCCTTGAAACACCGAAAACACCATTAACGCTATTTTTACCTTTATCAATATAAGGAAATCTTCCTTGGCATTAGGGAAAGTACCGTTTTATAGTAAAGTGAAGCTAGATTTTTAATTAAATTTCCTTGTAATAAACAATGGAAATGACTCGAACTAATTTCTGGGTGTATGTTTTGTTTTTGGGTTTTTGGTTTTTCTGATCTTTACCTTTTGGACTCCGGCGTGTATTTGATGTAAAGCCACCATGACCTATAGATGGCTCTGTGTGCGCAGGCTCCGGACTCGTCCTCGGCGATGCGCCAGTGGACAAACGCTGATTGCCTCGTCCCCTCGCCACACGGTAAGTGTCCACCGCGCAGCCGCGCTCGCGTGACTCGTTAATCACACGATCAGGGGCCGCTTCTTTTGATTGCCAGCTTTGAATATTTAACGTGACATCCTCACAAGCACGGCCCGTGATGACGATATGACAAATGCATGGGCGAGCGTGTCCGCGTCGCGGGGTCAACAGGTGTTAAACGCTGTTCCGTTGTGTACTTTAGTGTCTCCGTTCGGGGGGATGCCGAATGGCATGTCCAACGGCATGTCCAACGGCCGGATGTCCCTGATGAACGGCAGTGGAGACGCCGACGAGGAGCTCAAGCTGAAGGTGGAGACCACGTCGCAGGACTGCCAGGCCTTCAGTCTGTTCTCCAAGGACTCTACGGTGAGTGCATGGCTCTGGTCCGCGGCGCTTCTTTCATCGCCGCAGTGTGTGTGACGCCCTCCCTGTGCGCAGGTCTCGGAGGAGCGGCCGGACTCGCTGGGGCTGGAGGACGGCGCGCTGGACGGCGCCCTCGGCGGGACGCCCGCGCCGACACGGCTGCCGGGCTTCCAAGAGACGTTCTGCTCCAACGAGGCGGGCGTGAGCCGCGGCTTCGACGGCTTCTACAGCAGCGGCGACCTGGAGCTGCAGGTGCAGGTGAGCTGCGCCAGCCCGCCGCCGTCCCCGCCGCCCGTGCCGCCGCCCGTCTCCACGCGCGGGCGCGGTGGGGGCCGCGGGCGGGGCCGCGGTCGCGGCGCGGGAACCGCGGGGGCCGCCCGCCGCCGGGCCCCCGTCCGACGGCAGCGACGCAACTCTCCGTCGGGGCTCGGCCTCGGCAACGGCGCCATGAGCGACGACGAGAACGCGCTCATGGGCCATATGAACGGCATGGGGAACGGCTTGCACGGTGGACTTCACGGCGCCAGGATGTCGCCGGGACTGAGTGGCGAGATGCCGGGGATGGGGTCGGGGATGAGGGGCGTGCCGTATGGCATGCCGAGCAGGATGTCCCCTGGAATGGGTCCGCCCGGGATGTCCCCGGGCATGCCCAACGGCATGCGAGCTGGCTACTCCCCCGGGCTGCCAAGCGGCTTGCCAAGCAGGATGTCACCGGGAATGTCCAACGGCATGCACAACGGTATTCCCAACGGCATGGCCAGTCGGATGTCCCCGGGGATGTCCCCCAGTATGCTGGGTATGTCTAACCGGATGTCGCCAGGGGTGTCGAACGGTATGCCGAGTAGTATTTCAAATAGAATGTCTCCAGTTATGTCGAATGGCATGCCTGGCAATGTGGCTAACCGTATGTCTCCGGGCATGCCGAATGGCGTACCCGGAAGCATATCTAGCCGAATGTCTCCGGGGATGCCGAGTAATATTTCTGGAAGCATAGTTAACCGAATGTCCCCAGGAATGTCGCATGGTATGCCTGGCGGTATGTCAAGTCACATGTCTCCAGGGATGTCAAACGGAATGCTCGGGGGCATGCCCAGTGAAATGTCACCAGGACTACCGAACGGTATGCCCAACAGCATGTCGGCTCATCGGATTCCTTCAGGGGTGTCGACTGAAAAGACATCCCCGGACCGCTCGAGCGATGTGACGACTGGCATACCGAACGGTTTTTCTGGTGCCCTGTCAGAGAGGCCGTCCCCCGGGTTGCCCAACGGAGTGCCGAGTGACATGCCTACATCGGCCGCCGAGAGCGTCCCTGGGAGCAAGCCCGATCGCATGCCTCCTGAACCGTGTGGCGAAGGAACCCCGGACACCAAAGGTGACATCCTCGGTGTCGGCACCTCCCCCGAAGAGACGCCTCCAGAGTGCGATGCGCAGCACGCAGAGAAAACGGTCATCAAGCAGGAGACCGTGGAGGCTGCCGACGCCGACCAGGACAAGCCCCCCAAGAGAGCCTTCAGCCCGCACCCGCAGAGTGCAACGCAACAGTCGCCCAAGCAGCCGGCGCTGCATTCGCCGTTGGAGTCCCCCTCGCTCTTCGGGTCCTTTGGTTCGGCTCAGGCTCCGGGCCAGGGCATGCATCAGCAGCCTCAGTCCGGCTCGCCGAAGCAGCAGCCTTCTCCTCAGCAACCGCTCTCTATGTCGACCGTCTTCAGCCAGCAGGAGCGACAGTCCCCGAAAGCAGCCCCCTTCAACCAGCAAGCGTGTCGACAGCCCTCACTCAGCCCGTCCCTCTTCTCTCAATCCCCCTCTGCACAGTCGCCCCATCAACCGCTTTCGTTCGCACAGCAGCCCTCCTCCCAAGACTCTCCTCAGCGAACCTCGGCTGATTCCTCGCCCTTTGGCCAGCAACCAGTGCAACAGTCCCCTCAGCAAACCCTCCCCAACTCTGTCTCGTTCGCTCAGCAGGCGTCTCAGCAGGACTCTCGGCAGCCCTTATCAAATGCATTCTCCCAACAACTCTCGTCCTCGCAGCAACCGATGTCGAACTCTCCCTTCCCCCAGTCCTCTCAGCAACAGATACCCACTCCCTCCTTCACTCAGCAGGCTCCTCAGCAGCCCCAACCCATGCACAACTCGTCTCCGTTTTCCCAGCAACAGTCGCAGGAGAGTGCTGAGCAAGGCATGGGCAGCCAGCAATCGTTTGCTCAGCCCTCGTACAGAGGTGGTCAGCCAAGCGCCGCTCAGGCCAACGCTCAGCAGTACGCTCAGCAGCAGGCGAGGCAGCAACAGCCGCAGCAGCAGGGGCAGTTCCCTCAGCATTATGGGCAGCAGGAACAGTGGTACGCGGCGCAACAGGGCTACCAGTGGCAGGGCTACCAGCAAAACAACTACCACAATGACTATCAGTACCTGCAGCAACAACAGCAGCAGTGGGGGTGGGGCTACCAGCGTTACGGCAACGCTCCTGGCCCCGCCTACCAGCAGTACCAGCGGTACGACTACAACCGGTACAATGGCTACCCTAACTCGTGGCCCATCGGCTCGACGAGGGAAGATGTGCCTGGGTATTGACTGACAGGCCGTCATTACTGTAATTACGTGTAAATTATAATACAATTCTAGTCAATCTGTTCCTAGTTAATGTGTTATTTATTATTACCAAAGGACCATACGGGGCCTCTTTAATACGCGCTATGCGTGTTTGTTAGTGTTGTGTGTGCGTGTGAGTGAGAGAGATATATATATAAAAGGGGGGTAAGAGTGGAGGATATGGTGTATATAGGAATGCCGTGCCGCGCATGTTGTGTTGACAGATTACTACGTAATATCGGCGTAGTTGCAGTTGTTGCATGAACCGCCTTAAAGTTTGTTACTGAGGTCACCTGGACGGTTATGGCTGGTAAGCGGGCGCATTGTTGTGGACCATTTAGTCAGAATCAGGCCTCGATCTCCGGCCTATGTAATTAATGTATGGATTAATTTTCTCCGTGAATGAACCCTAACAAATATGTGTATAAGTTTTGGTGCTAGTCTGAGTAAAATGTAGATAAATGACTGTCTGGTTAGATTTTCCTGTTAATCAATCGAGGGAACGTATCACATTTTCAAAAGTGTTCCTTTTTACCCACACTCCTAGCAATGTTCGTGTGTGGATGTGTCTGATTCTCAGGCGGGCGTAGGCCCAAATATACCGTTAAGGTTTGCTCCCTTTTGAGGGACTCTGTCGACCTTTATTCGAAAACGCCCCTCTAAGAGTCAGAGGCAGAGTTGCGCCATTAAGTCTGAAGGGTCTGGACGGAGGGTACGTGTGTTAATTAAAAGGAGTTAATTAAATTGGGGTGTTCATCTTAAATAAATTAAACAAGTTATAT